ATTAACATTGTCTAAAATTTACATATGTTTACGGCTCGCGAGTAAACATTTAAAAGAAGTTTCTTGCCGCAAACATAACTTTACAATTCAAGATGGCGCCAAACAGATCTGTGCGTTACACATAGGTAGCACCACCAAGTTCTAGAATTTCTTGTGCCTGGGGAATACCGACGGCCTAAGCTGACGCGCACCTCCCTGTTGCCGTGATAACGTCCGTCAACCAATAAGAAAAGAGTAGTTTTGTTTTGTCCAGCTTTGGAGTTGGCTTGGCATGGAGGCACTCGGCGCGTCTTGCCGCCTCCTGTGAAAGTTTGATGCGGCCATTGTGAGGTCCTGATACAGTAAAAGTGGCTACATCTCCTTCCAGTATGTAGAAAATTACTTCATCTAACTCGTGTAGTCGGATTTCACCAATTATCGTCCTCGATACCGAAAATGGTTTCCCTCCCAAAAGGCCCGTTCGACCGCCTGTCCGACCGACCGTCCCATAATCTCAAAACAATGTCGAATAATCTCAATAAAAATATAATTTTGAACTATTGTTTATTGTATATCATATGAGTATATACCTTTTTAGGCCCAACAATTGTCTGCAAGCCCATTTTGATTCCCGTGGTGGAATCACTTACCGTGTTTGTCACATCACCGAGATATTCAGGAAAGATTGCTGAGTGTGATGAGAGAAAATATATATTAAGGATCATGTTACATCTCAGAGATTTATAATTGTGAACCAGTTCCGACACTATTTCATCATAAACATCAGCTGTTCTGTTACCAAGAAATTCCGTTACGACCTTTTGAAGCGACATCCATGCGACCTTTGCAACACTATTTAAACTGCCTCAAAATCATAATACTCGTAAGTTCCCTTCATTTTTCACCCTACAAATATACCCTTTTTTATTGTCGCCTCAATGATTCTCGGGAAATTGTTCTTTATATATGGGAAACCTGGCCCACTTTATCAATCATCTTCACACTTTTTTCATCAATCCGAGATGGTGTGCTAGGGAAGAAGATAAGCGTGTACAGCATTACAAGGGGTTGCAAAGTTTTTTGTCCAGAAATCGTGGCGTTTAGGAATGTGCTTCTTCACAAAATGATTTTTGCACTCTGCTGCCCCACTCGCATAGAAAACAGTAAAATTAAGAATATCCTTATTGGATTTCTAACAAAAGTGCGATACCCATGTACATTTCATTAATACTGCTGGTATTACATCTTCAATAACAAAAGTACATTAGTTGGAATATTTTTATTGTTTAAATGGGTTTGTGTAATGTTTTCGGTTGCGAACGAAAAATTAGCACTGCGTCTGATTCTGCGTCTGCATCATTTAAATTACCTAAAGAGAAACCACCGAAGGGTAACTGGCTTAGATATGTAAGAAAACAACGATAGCGGTTCACAGTTAATGATAAAGCTATATTATGCTTTCATTTTAAATGGCATGTAGGTAAAATTCCGTGAAGGTATTGATCTATGTTTCAAATGGTCGATGCGTTAACCTCATAAAATATCGAAATTTGTGAATTACGAACTGTACGTGAATTTTCACACTAGCCAATTTATTTTCCAGTAACTCACGATAATGTAAGCAAATATCTTGACGAACTTACCTGCTAATTTTACGAAGAGATTAGGAAAATTGGATTAAATTCCATGAAAAATATACCATAGTCAATTTAGAACACCACTATTAATATATAACACTGCGATTAATATATTGGATAAGTATAGTAATTTATAAAAAAAAATGTTAAATTTACTTTGCAACTTAAATAAGTACAAACAATTTTTGCTGATTCTTTTATAATCTAGGGTAGATAACCGTATTGGCGGAATACCAACATTACAACCTGGCAATATTGAGATCAAGACAGGTACGAATTACATAGAAATTATTTAAAATCTATTTGTTGAATATGAAATAAAAATTACTAATATAAAAGTGTAAGAATTGTTTATTTTTAATTTTCTTTTAAAAATACTGCTTTTTCAAACAAATCGTTAGACAATAAACCTGTAGTTGCCGAATGTACTATAAAACCTGTAAGGGAAAACAGTCATTCTACCGGCGTGGATGAACACGAAGTAGTATTATATCGAATAAACGCTTTTTTGTCCTTCGCCGTTTTCTTCGCCTGCATTTGAAGTATTTTAAGTACTTTTTTTAAATACACATACTATGCATATTTAAATACGTCTCTAAAATATGCGCCCAAAGAACTCCAAAATTCAGTTTTTCAAATACAAAATGAATTTAAAATACATATTTCAAATACAAGTATTAAAGTACTGTCCACCCCTGTCCATTACAAATCGTATAACATTTGGTGCTAAAACTAAGGGAAATAATTTACATATTCTGATTTACGAAGAATGCAATTGTCTAAATAAAATTACCCCCAAGAAGCGTAGTACATTTTTAACGAGCGATTATTTTTACCTCCAAATTACCCCAGTATAATCATAAAAAAAATGAACATGACTTTGAGATCTATTTTTGATAAACACATTCTCTCCTGTCATGCTTTACACCGTAGATATACAGTTTCTAGGTGGTGTTGCTTCCACTCCACAGCTGTATGATATCTTAAACTGGATAACATAATAATTTTATGAATGATGCCTAAAAAATACAGGTCTTTAAGAATTATATGCCTCCCGTATGAAGGAACGATAATAGTAGTTTATGCAATTAGTTTATAATGTTAAGCTTTATTGCATGAATACATGTTTTGAAAACGAGCGACTAGGAGCGAATTTTCAAATTTGTACGAATGTAATAAAGCAATATTATAAACGAGTTGCATACTATATTTTTTTGTATAAGAGCATTGTACATTTATAAGAGAATCAAACTTAATTTTGCGAAACAACTTCCCTGCGACGACTCGGGTATTTGACATCGTGCGAGTAAACTGTGGTCGGCGGTTCCGTTTACCTCTACCTTCCCCCGATTCTCTCGCTACGATTGGCTGAATGTGTGATGACGCAATCATCGTGACATAAAAACAGAAAAGGTTCTTTGATAATGCTGGAATACAAAAAATCCATTATACCATCAGCAGACCGTCAACTTCATGTACTCGTACATTAATACATTGAGAATACAATATGTAGAATAAAGTAAAGTGAAAGTGTGAGAAAGCGAAAATAGAATTAATATTGGCATTTTCAGTGAAAAATTGTAATTAAAATTAAATTAACTATTTTTCACGACATTCATTCAATTTTTCTCGTGGCCCCGTCGTTATTGTGAGGCTTGTATATATTTCGTTGTATTTCTAGCCGAAATTATGCAAAAGCTACTCGTAATTTTCAAAAAATTGTACAACACTATCTGAGATAAAAATTTCTATCTTCAATTTTGTAGTCATGAAATGTATTTTTACAATTTTCGAAAAATCAAGAAATACCAGAAAATGAGTCTAGCGCCATATTTCTTTCCGTTCCGTATTACATATGTGGAAAAAATGTAAAGAAAAAAATTGGAGCGGTTTTCGTGAATTGTTTTGTAGTAACTTTCAGTCGCATATAACGCAAAAACTACTCGCTTTCCAAAAAGTAAATTATTCATAACGTGTTAAAGAGTTCATTGTGTAAAACAGACTTGGTCCGAGACAAAAAAAATCCTAATCTCTAATTTTGAAGTTTTAATTTTTTACCAGTATTCGAAAAAATCGGGAATATCAACGAAAATGACACCTGCACCATTCTCTTAAACGTTCTTTGTACTATTCAACCACGAAATTTAATAATTTGGAGCCTTTTTTGGAAAATTTTGAAAGTGTCCCACGGGCTTCATGTAAAGAACCCCCAAAATGAAAATAAAACAAATAAAAAGATTTTAAAATATAAAAAGAAATAATTATAATAGTAATAATAAAATATTAATAAATAAAAAAATAAATTATAAAAGCAAGTAATAAAAAAAGTGAAGAAATACGCTACCATACGAAACATAGGTACTAAATAAAAATTACAGGATTTATCCACTTTTTCATTACTAGGGCACGGCAATATGAGTATTTCTGTCGAGAATTCTCTTTTTTCTGCCGTATTACTGTACGTCCTCTATACTGCGTAAACACTAAGCGTTTATTGCTGATATGGCCCACAAATACAGCTGTCAGATGTGAAAGACGGGAATTCCTCTATCCATTGGTGGTACAAAAGCTGCTTTCATTGGATTAATTTTTTTTTCAGCTTCACACGAGTAAACTGTGAATTTCTAGGGGTACTACGAGATATTTCACGTGATGAAAATAAAACAATTGGAGGAAGAATGAAGACACTTCCTGACCATCAGATACACAAGCCCAAATCTCCAGTCCACACTTAGCATATTTTGGTGTAAAAGGATATATTAATCTTTTGTTCACATTGAAGCATGCCAGATGTCTCGTCTCGTCTCGTCTCGTCTCGTCTCGTCTCGTCTCGTCTCGTCTCGTCTCGTCTCGTCTCGTCCCGTCCCGTCCCGTCCCGTCCCGTCCCGTCCCGTCCCGTCCCGTCCGATGCCTACTTACGAGTAGAACCTATATACAATGCCTATATACAACAAACACACACACACACACACACACACACACACACACACACACACACACACACACGCATTGCATTACTGTTGGAAAATTAAATGGAATGTTTAGAGTAAAATAAATTGTTTCCGAACAAGTTAAGACAGTCAGCATTATCCAAAAACAATTAAAGCCAACATTGTAAACAACATTCCATTAAAATATTTTCCATGCCCATAACCTTCCTCTATGTTACATTCTTTTTGCGAGCATTTAAATAATGCATTTTCTGTGATAGATTTGTTTTTAATGATTCATCATTTTAGGAATATGAGTATTGCTTTCAACGTTTTTTTCTATACATCTTGTACTTTTCGTTCATTTCACGATTATTGGTTAATAATATGAAACGACTCGTACTTCTGCAAGGTGTTTTTATCTTTAATAATGTGGATATTTCTTTTCTGTCAGGTCAATGAACTATTGTCGTATTTTCACGGAGTTGGCTGAATCCTTCTTGGAGAAGATAGTGAATGGAAGTACAGCAAATGAAGCACATTATGCTATTAAAATATTAAATCTTGTACTGACATGTGTCGGCCATCATGATTATGAGGTAAAATAGAAGTAATATCTTTTTTTAATTTTTGTGTAAAGTGATGCATGTCAACCAATATCTATAATTCTTCGCTTTCTGTGTGTACAATCAGAAATAAACCTTCAGAGATTCAAATGTCTTGGACAAACTTGTTGTCAACACACCTAAAGCGGCTTAGAAATTTTGTAATTGTAATCAGCTTACGTGTTTAATTCTCTATTTCTTATTTGTATTGAATATTCAAGAATAGAGCTTTTCCAGAGAATGCACTTTTATATTCTCCGTTAAAACTTCATGAATAAACTAGAGATCCAAAATTCAATCCAATAGAGATCTCTTATTAATCTATCTTAGGGTCTCCTAAGTCCTTCAACAAAATTACATTTTAAAATGTGTTTCTGAATGCTTTCGTTATACAACACATTGATGTTTACTAGAAAATTCCTGTTTCAAGTACTAAAAAATACATCTTATTGCAAACCTCACTATTTTACTGAGAGCATTGTTTGTTATGAGTGAAGTGAGTTATGAATTTCATATTCATATACAGTCACATTTTGAAGTTTAATATCAACTTGCTTGTATATTTGGGAACAACTCCTCTTAACTCCACGTTGTTATTGTTTTTTCTTTGGAATCTGCTGTGAAGTAAAATTATGAACAGCGAAGCCTGCTTTAAGCGGTCACTGATGGTTCTAAAAAAATGGCCGCTTAATGGAACCGGAGAGAATAAGGAAAGCGGACATCTCGCTTGCTTGCATGGTTGCAAATAGATTAATATACTTTCGTCGTCGACACATTTTTTAATTATACTTGAATAATACAATAATTGATATGATTTATTAGTCAAAAGACAAACAGTAACGTACCCCAGTTTCACTCCTATCACTACTGGCAGAAGGTGAGCGCAACAAAACGTGCACATAGTGAAGCTTCATTTATGTCCAGAAGCAAAACAAGTGGCCATATCAGCATTTGCTCAATGGATCAGGGAAACTGGAGAAAAACCTGTTAAAGTTGGGGGTCATTGACCTGGATGCTCAAGTACGATACTTGTTACAGGGATATTAAGTCATTTTTAAATTATGTGAAACAATTGTAAACTAATGCGTTATATAATATTGTTAAAATAAATATTTTTCTTTTTAATGTTCAGTATAATCTCTAATTGTATAGAAACAGTTATTCAGCAGAAAACATTTTACTTTTAACTAAAAATTATGTACTGATTATAATTGTTAAATATCATCTAGCGAAGTGTTGTAAAGTAACATGCATGCATTATATGTTGATTTCTTATAATGGGCTGGTTGTATTGACACCTGGTGGATGTGATTTTTACGATGTGGGTTGTATTATAAATCTGTGAGTTGCATGTTCCCACCGCTAAGTAAGTCCGATATGACAAGAACAAGAGTTTCGTAAATGAATAGGCAAGGCAATGGTAAGATTCTAAACTGAATGAAGAGAGGCTTGCAGGAATCACGTGGATGGCATTTTATTTATTATTCGTATAATTATTCTCTGCAATCTAGAAGTCTGGGTACTATAGGATGAGCTTCTCGAGAATATTAAGCCATATGCCAGACGAGAATGTACATTTGCAAAATACTCACAACGAGCTGTATGAAGGCGGATAGAATTTGAATGAATTCTGAAAGCGTAACATATTGAACGTAATTTTATGTTTAATTTAGTTATATGAATATTCCATTTGAGGTTTGACTGAATTTAGAGACCCGGAAATTTGCTTACGTTAATATCAGATAATGGCAAATTGCTCTTTTTCAAAGGGGCACGCGATTGCTGGATTGAAATGCAAAAATGTATTGAAACAGTTTGGACAGAAAGAGAATAGGACCTAAGATCGAACCTTGCGGAGCCTCGTGCTCAAGTGGCAAATAATTGGAAAGATAATTAGCAATGTTCTTTCGTGTCAGTACAGTATTTGTTCTCTTTTAGATCGATTTTTATGGTATGAGGTTTTCCAATCTAGAGCAATACCACGAATTCCATATACAAGTAATTTTGAGAGCAAGTTGTTATGGTCAATAACGTCAACGCTTTCGAAATATCTAAAAATATTCCAATAGGGTCTTTTTTTATTCATTAATAAAGCAACATCTGTAAAACAAGAAAAACTAGCGGTTTTCGTACATTTAGCTTTAGTTTTGTAACTGGCGCTCAAACTAGCCTGATAATTTTTCATTATTTGGGCGTGTACATTCATTTCCTTAATTATGCTTTTGTATTTTTGGAAGTATACGTGGAAACCGGGTGATACGTTGTGCTGTTAAAAAATTGGAGTAAAGCATTCGTTTGTTTTTACACGATGTTCTAATTGCTTGTGTAATCTATGAAATGTTTGTCTCTTTTTAAGAGGAAACCACATATTAATGTGAAATGAAAGCTTTGAGAAAAATTAATTATAGTTTGCATTAGTGTCAATAGCGTTATAAACCGCTTCCTATGATTCTTGCAGTAAGTAGTCAGTAAATTTAATATTTTGTATCGGAATATCGGACCATCGGTGTACAAAATTTTTCAGTTTCCAACATCGCACTCGTTTCTCTCTCAGGTGGTTTCGTCTCAACCGTGACACGATTCCTGTCTAGATTTCAAGCTGCGATTCATGCCCCTTAATGAAAATGATTTGTTGTAAGAAACAAATTAAAGTCTTCGAAAGACTAGAATCCTAGATATCACTGTCACATTTTGTCCTAATATAGGAAGATACTGAATCCTTATATAGTTTTTGAGTAACTTGGTATGTTCGCGCGTCCGTCACTCATGATTAGACCACTTTCCACCCACCAATCGGGACAAATGTGGTGTCATTCGATCAGTCCCGATCTCCTGGTTGTTTACGGATCCATTGAGAAAATTCTACCAAATGTCCGAAAACGTGTTTTTTTTAGCTTGACGATGTAGTTGTGGCCGCGCGAATCACGTGCCCCATTGTCCGTCAGCCAGGCGATAGCAGGTCGCTAATATTGTATTGCCCGGACGCCTCTGTTTACAGTATGTGAAGCAGGGCTCGTGTTATTTGGAAGGGTTTGTGGACTGTGTTGACATCCCGTAGTGTAAACTATAAGAATGGAATTTTAGAGTAGGGGCTTGTATACATTTTCTTTAATAAGCCATCTGATAATGCATTCGAAGAATGTACTAACTCATCAGAACAATTCTTCTGGGAGCGTACGGATTTGGTTCTCCAACACCGTATTTGAGGGTGGTTGGTGGCTGTATCCCCAAAGAACATCCGACAAAAGTTGCGACTGCACGTTTTTTATATGTAATTTTAATTTTTAATAGCCTATTTTACGTACTACGCCCAAGGATGATAGAACAAGGCAACTGTATGCAACCGAACAAGTTGCTTTGCAGTGTTTGCCTACTCAACGCTCTGTGACGTCACAGAAATCTGCTCTCCTGCTCCGAACCGAGTCGCGTAGCAAAGGAACTGCCCTACGCGGCGGCGGACGCACATTGTCTCAATGATGGTGCGGAAGGGGGGGGGAGGGCTTGCAAAATAATTACCTTTTTTTAATGGTAATTGTTATTTAGGATATTTGATTCAGCAACAATATAAATAATTAATTAATAGAACATACATTATTAATACATAACATACAAACAATATACACATAACTTGAAGCAATATTCGACTCTTTATCATAACCAGTACTGTAATTCCCCTTCTATTTCATGACATTTTTGGAAAAGATAGTTTGAACATTTTAGGACAAGAATATTTTATACAATGTTATATAATATAACGAATTTATTTCCTGATGAGACAATAATTATTGCTAACAAGCAGTTCCGGAGAGGGGTCATTTGGGTGAATTTGAACCTTAGGTTTGATTATTTCATTTACAGTTTTCAGAATTTTGTAAATCCTCGTGATTTTCAGTACCTCTTCCATTAATCTTCAATCTGTGAAGTCCTTTACTTATCCGATGATTGCGAGCTATCTGTCAATTCTCAGAAATTATTTTTATCTCGCGTATTTCTCTGAGCCGCAAAGTTGCATCAGTAGTTTGGAATTTTTAACATACTACCTTTTTTGAACAAACTTGGCACTTTGCCATTGTTTTAGTATCTATAAAAAGAAACCTTTCTTACCAAATGAAAAGAAAATTAGCGGGCGTGGATGGTGTCCCACTCAAGTTGCCTGAAACACCGCCCGTGGCCCACTGCCAAAGTTTTCGTCACAGGCGACCGCAGTCTGTAGATGCCTTCCTTTCCCCTTTGCTCGGCTGCTTCTTCCAGCACCTCCTCATGGAAGGCAAGATTGCTCTGACGTCATTTCGTCTCCAGTTGGCAAACGCTGGTTTAAAGTTTCTTCTTATTTAAATCTTGCATAGCAAATGAATATATGAATATATTTTTAAAACTGTAAAGCGTCGGCGACGCAACAGTCAGCTATTTAACAGTAATATCCTCTAGCTTTCCACTTTTTATAGTATTAAGGTACAAAATAGCAATTTCGCCAGTAACTTGTAGTCGTATTGTGCATGTTAACTTACACAGACCTGCCCAACTAGCTCTAGAAGAACGTGAGTTGCTCACAAGAGGGTGTTGAGAGGCTCTCCGTTGTGCTCCGAGCTGCCCGGAGAGTGAACGCGACGAATTTGTGCGCTTGGGGGGGGGGAGTGGAAGCAAGAGTGCAATTGAGTGACAGCCTGAAAGGTTTGGCGCGCGCCTCGTGCATTTGTGACCCGATTACAAACTACCAGCGATAAGTACCGAGAATTGTGTTCAAAAAACGAGTTGATATTCCAAGCTATTTATTTAATTATACAAACTTGTACATAACAATTTACATATTTACAAAAAACGTTCATTTTTCATATTGTTATAGTTCATCTTCAGAAAAGGGTCCAACGTATGAAAGTGAAAAAGTAATACAGCAATGTTTTTGATCCAAAATAAATTTACAATTGGTTCCTACCTCACTCTACCATAAAACGTGGTGTTTACTTTATATGTTTAACGTAAAATTTGTGTTTCAT